ATGATTGCAAATCATTTTTCTGTTTTGCTGTTTAAAAACAGACATATACGTNTGGTAAAATCTTTCATCCGTCGTTGGCGTATTATTAAAACATACAGAGAATAAAAAAATGTATTTATATAATAGATAAAAACCATAATGTTTTGACAATATGTTAGCTTGATATTACTACCTATTAATTATTACACGATTAGCTGTTCTATAAGTAAACAATTGGTCGACTCATATTTTAAGTACACTTTTATTACCGGGATATAAGACATTATTTTGTGTCTTATTTTTAAGTAAGCGCAGAACAATATAAAATACTGGTTGTTTTATTATTATAATAATTATCAAGATTAAAACTCTGTATTTGTCGTTTACTTGAACAAATTGAATCTACCTAATAAAATTTAGCATTTTTATGCTATTTGATATCGATTCTCATACTCTCTTTCACTCTCTCTATCTCTCATTCTTTCTCTCCCTCTCTCTCAATCCTTTTATCTCTGTACATTGATATTATTGTAAAAGTAAATGCTCTGTATCTCTCCTTCGATTATATTTTCAGTCTCTTTTGCAAATATGCAAGCTGAACATTTCGAGCTTACCATTAGGCCGCTTCGAAATTCATGTTTCAAGGCGGAATTGCATTATACAATACCTCCATGAAAGTATTTTTAATTTAAAAAGAAAGAATAAAAAACAAAAAAAGAGAAAAGAAACATCATTTCTCATTTGCTTTATGCATTAAGCAATCAACCTCTAATTAGTTCTATAAGAATGTAGTCCCTTCACCAAGAACTAATGTATCATGGACCATAATGTTTATAGTTTTGTTTCTATTTTTGTTGCTTCTTGATTATTTAATACATCCGATTCCTTAAGCTTACAGATTTTATAAGCATGGAATCTGCAAAAAAATAATATTTTTATTATAATTTATATAATAAAAAATTTATTTATTTAAAATTATTATATTTACTATTATGAAATAATATTAATATATTTTTATTTTAGTAGCTTTACAATTTATTAATCATTTATAATAATATGATGTAATAATATGATAATAATATAAGAAAATAAATTAGCATAAAAATTTATCTATTATTGAATTTTTTAAATAAAAAAGATTTCATATTTATAAAATTAATAAATACATTTATTGTATTCAATGAACTTAATAAACAACTTACGGCATTGTTCATTGTGGTAATAATTCAATGATCTCCTCTCAACAATTCCATTAACAAATTAAACGAACTACCTTCTCCTTCAGCACGTTTCGCACTTAACAATTCTTTTCCTGCTTGGCATGTTCTTTGTAAATCTGGAATTCTCAATAATAATTCACCAAATTTAGCAGGCATCTCTGGGTACCTTGCTATGGTATATTGTTGTAATGCTTGTAAAGCCTTCTCCTGAGATGCTCTAACTTTTTCAGGTTCCTTCAATTCACTTGTATCAGAGGTCAATAACACTATTACCTATATATGATAATTAAATATTATATTAATTTTAAAATCAATAATTTTGACATTCATAAAAATAATAAAAAAAAAAAAA